GGTGGACGGAGAGTTGTCTCTGGCAGTCTCAAAGCAGCACAGTGACGTTGACATGGTGGCTTCCTGGTGTCGGCACTGTTCAGAGTGCCCACAGCATCGTCTCAGAGCCACCTGGTGAGAGAGATGGGGAAACCGAGGCACAGGGTGACAAGTGCCTGCACAGACTCGGACTCTTAGGTCATGAATTCAGCTCCATGGGCCTGTTACACCACGCCCTCCAAGGTCAGCACTCCTGCAAGTTTGGAGGTGAATTTTGAAGGGGCTTTGGCAAACCCGGATGCCTGGCAGCTGCCCTGAGTGGGGAGAGATGAGGAAGCTGTGCTTGGGAGGTGCGGGGAGGAAACGGAGGCTGTGCCCCTCGGAGAGGGGGTGGGAGCAGGCAGCCTCTGGACTGGCTGTGGGGAGGGGCCTAGACTTTCCCTGGGCACTGGGTGGCAGCACGGGTGCCAAGGGTGGGGCTTCATCATTTCAGGCTGAAGGCCATTCAAGAAATGAAGCCGTCTGATGACAGAGTGGGGCGCCCCTGGTGGGTTGAGCTTCCCATCCCTGAGGGTATTCAAGCAGGGCCAGACTGGACATCCAGGGATGCTGCTGAGGGGACTTCAGCCTCAAACAGGGGTGGTTGTGGGTCTTTGACCTTGGGAGTCCTTTCCAGCTCAGTCTATGAGTCTGTAGAAAAAGTGGGTTAATAGAAGAAAGTGGAGGCAGCATCACGTGATCAGTACCATGCGTGAGGACCCTGCAGCCCTGCCGTATGCCCCCAGGGCAGGACGCGGAAGCCGGGAATCTTCTTTAGCAGACAGACGGAAGTGAGGGGCCAGGCACTGTTCCCAGGGCAGGCAGCTCCCACCTTCTGGGGACTTGAGTCAGGGTCCTGGGGTGGATCTGCCCACTTGGTAGAGAGCTTGGTGCCTGCAGTCCCTCTCGCATCCTCCATGTGTGGCCACATTCCCTCCTTGGTGCCTTCTGAGGCCATCACAGCTCCTCCTGGCATCTTGAGCGCGCGCCCCAGGAAACAAACCTCTCTGTCTGACTCAAGCCCAGCTCGGCAGCTCTGGGGAGCTCTTCCAAATGGCAAGCTTTTCAGGGCCCAATTTCCCTCCATCCCCTCCTGCGGTCCCCCAGTGCCCAGCCGGTTTCCTGGCTCAGAGCATGGCTGCGGGGTTCCATTTTGGCTCAAACTAGAAAGCCCCACTTCACTGCTCCTGGATTTGGGCCCACAATGTCAGAGCAGGGTGTGGTGGGTGAACCCAAAGTGTCTGGGGTCTGGCCTGCACCCCAGTGATGTTGTACCTGGCTCTGCTGTGGCTTCCCTGGAAAAGGGTTTGGGAGGCGGCCATGTGAGCGGCAGTCAGCCGGGCCCTGCAGTGGGGTTGGGGGCTGGGAGGCCATGATGCCCAGGCTCCCTGGAGCCTCCGCCCCCTTGCTCCTGCCCTGGTGTCATGGAGTTCGGGTTTTGGGGAGTCCTCATGGACCACAGTGAAGGGGGGATCTCAGGCGCCCACACGGTGGAACTGGCACCCTTGGTGTCGGGGTGGCCCACTGGGCCCACAGGCACCCCCGCTCGTGCCTGTCCAGTGGGAGAACTCACCCAAACCTTGGGAACATCCCTGTTTTCTCCAGAGCCCTGGTGCGAGAGGCATTTGCTCAGCTGTAAGGGTTTCTAGAGCTTCAGCTTCTGTTCACAACCATCACTCCCGCCTCTCCCAGATCAGCGAGGAGGCACTGGTGTTTCCTCCTTTCTGGGAGCAGAGGAGATGGGGTGGAGGGTGATCCCCACTGGCTGCTGGGCTGGGTCAAGGTCCCTCCGGGTTCTGGTGGTGGTGCCAGAGGGGGACAGTGATGCGGGGACGAGCGTGTCTCCCAGAACATTCTTACCATGAACACAAGCCGCCATGCCGGACCCTGCTGGCCGAAAGGCAGGGTCTACACTGAGCCCACCCCTGCAGGGAGAGCGCTGGGCGCTGCAGTGGTTTCCCAGGGTCCCCCTAACCCAATCCTGAGGGTCCACAGCCCTGATCCCTCCTATCGACAGTCTCTCCAGGTCCCCATAGGAGGGGGTATTCCAGCTGGCAGGGCCTCCGGGGCCATCTGAGTACCCCCATATAGTAATGGGCCTCGAATCCCCTGGGGGCTGGGGAGGATGGACCTTCTGGCTCCGTGGGCTGGGGTGGGGGTACGCAGCTGGCTTTAAGAGCAGGTGAGGTGGAGGCTCCCGGCCAGGGGACAATGAGGTCCTTCTGAGCTGTTTTACAGACGGGAAGGCTGAGGCCCAGAGGCGCTGGGCGGCTGGCCCCAGGTCCGAAGCAGCACTGCAGTTTTCTTCACTCCTGTTCATCCTTGGCCTCAAAACCGGCCTTCCTTCCTGTAGGCTGCCGGGGCCTGCCCCGCGCGAAGCTCAGCGTAGGCCGGAAGTCCCGACTTCTTTCCCTTTTCCCGTTAGAATGAAAGACTCGTCCCCTCACGGCCCTTGGCCTCCTGGCCTGCATTTCACCACTGCCCTTGGGGTTTGTAAAGTATTTTTATTTGTCCTCACTTAGGATGCTGCCCCTTCTCTGCTGGAAATGCTAAAAACACTTTCTCTTTCTATAAAAAAAAAAGGCGTGGGGTGTGTTGGAGACAGAGCCACAGGCCCAGGGGCGGCTGAGTCCTCTCGCTAGGCCCAGCCTGTCGGACTCTCCCGGGAGTGACCAGAAGGGCTCCCCGGGTTTCTCTGCCGCCACCTGCCACCTCCCCAGACAGGCCCCGCTGGCGCTTGGCCTGTGCCCGCTTCCCGCTCCCGGCTTCTCCAGCGCCAGTGCCGGCATCGCGCTCCAAGTGGCAGGGAGATTCCCAGTGGACGGCGACAGCAGGGGCTGGCCTGGGGCCAGCAGAAACCGGTTTGGGAATCTAAGGCCAGTCCACTCTCTGTCCCCTCCTGTTGGTGGGAGGGCAAAATGCCAGTCTGGGGACAGGCCACGATGGCAACAGGGGGTCCGAGTGTCCCAGGCCAGGGGCAGCGGGCGGGGGCGGGCATATGCGGGAGAGCGGAGACGGCCTTTTACAGACATGCGCCTTTCTTCTTTTTTTCCCTCCCAAGTTTACTCAGGGAGACGGTGCCACTCGCAGGCGCCCGGCCTGTCTGTGGCCGCGCCGGGGCGGCCGTGGCACGGCAGCCCCTGCCCCCATCTCGCCTGCGAGCCGCGCGGCCTGCATCGGAATCCACAGGGGGCGGGGAGCCTCCATTCAGCTGCTGGCTGCAGTTGGAGCCGCGGATCTGCTTCCCCGCCTGCCCTCGGCCAAGCCCGGAGGCAGCCGGGCTTTCTTCTGCGTGTGAATGCCGTAGTGTGTCCCGGCTCCCGGCCCTAACCCTTTCTTCTCCTCCCGGCCGCGAGCGCGCGGCGTTCTCCGCACACCGCTCGCACTTGGCATCTTGACGTTTTATTAAAAAAAAAAAAAATTCATACTGAGGCAAAAAGCGGGGACCCCCTCCTCTCCCGACGGGATCTGAGCTCGCGTCGAGGGCTGCACCTGCTCTGCGCCCCTACCAGGAAGGGGTGCTTGCGTGGGACGGAAGGAGGGAGGTGCTGCGCCCCCGGATCGGGAGAGAGCAGCCCGCCCGCCCCCTCCGCCGGCACCCAGCGCCTCGCACCCGCGAGCCGAGCCCGGGAAGCCGGCCCTGTGGGCGCTGGCCTGGCGCTTACCCCGGACGCCCCTTGCATCTCAATTTCCTCGCGCCGCTCGCGCGCCCGGCTCTCCTGCGCCGCGCCCGGGGCGCCGGGTCCTTCCTCCCCCGCCGGCCCCCGGCCCCGCTCGGACCCCGGCCCGCCAGGCGCGGGGCGCGGGGACCGCATCCCGGCCGTGCCCCGCGGGCCCCTCGCGGCCGAGCCCGGCGCGCGGACTCTCGCGCACGCCGAGCAGAGCCCTCCCGACCGGGGGCCCGCGGCCGCGGCCGCGATCCGGCTGGGGCGCCTCCGCGGGGTGCTCCCGTGCGCTCCCGCGCGCCGGCCCCGCGCGAGCCGGAGCCCCGCCGGGCTCCGAGCGCTCCCGGTCACCTCGGCCCGTTGGTCTCCCTCCTCCCGCGGTCCGGGTGGCAGCAGAACCGGGCAGCGCGAGGGCCAAAAAGTGGAGGGGCGCGCGCCGGCCGGCGCCCCCCGCCCAGCCCGACCCTCGCCATCCCGACCCAACTTTTCCCCTCGGCGGCGGCGCCCCGGGCTGCGGCGGGCGCGGGGCCGCGGGGCGGGGAGCGCGCGGCGGGGCTGCGGGTGGCGGCGCGGGCGGCGAGAGCGCAGCGGCGAGTGGGTGGGTGAGCGGGGCGGGCGGCGGGAGGGGTGTGGGGAGGGCGGGCGGGGGAGATTCCGCTCTCCTGCCGCTCCCAGCCCGGGCGGGGGCGGGGGGCGGGCGCGGGGGCGGGGGCGCAGGGCGGGGGCGCGGGGGAGGGAGCGGGAGCCGCTCCGGTGCCCCGTGCGTTCCGCGCGCCGGGCGCCTGTGCATTTCCGCGGGCGCGCGGCGAGCCGAGCCGTTCGCGCCGCTGCTGCAGCTCCGGCCGCGTCTCCTCCTCCTCCTCCCCCCGGCCGGGCGTGTGTGTCTGCGTGAGTGTGTGCGCGTGTGAGTGCGCGTGTGCGTGTGCGCGCGCGCGCGTGTGTGTGTGTGTGTTTTGCAGGTGTGTCCGTTTTAATTCTGCCCAGTAGGTGGGACTTGGTGACTTTCGCACCATCCCCGCCCCCCCCCCCCATTTTTGCTGCTTCTCCTGCCTCCCCGCGCCCGCGGCAGCCCTGCAAAGTCTCGGAGTCGGGGAGCGCCGCTCGCTCGCTCCCGAGCCCGCCGCGGCCCGCGGGAGCCGAGCCGCCACCATGCCCGGCCGCCCGCGCCGCTAGGCGCGCCCCGCGGCTCCCACCGGCGGCCGCGATGGTTCCCGACGCCGAAGGATCTCGCGTCTGATCGCCCGGCGCTTCAAAGGCAGAGGCCCCCTCCCCCTCCCGGCGTCTTTGTCTCCTTCCCCCCCGCTCGCCCCGCTCCCCCCTCCCCACCCGCCTCTCCTCCTCCTCTCTTGTAGGAGCCGCGGTCGGAGATGGATGTCTCGCTCTGCCCGGCCAAGTGTAGTTTCTGGCGGATTTTCTTGCTGGGCAGCGTCTGGCTGGACTATGCGGGCTCGGCGCTGGCGTGCCCCGCCAACTGCGTCTGCAGCAAGACCGAGATCAGCTGCCGGCGGCCGGACGATGGGAACCTCTTCCCGCTCCTGGAGGGGCAGGATTCGGGGACCAGCAACGGCAACGCCAGCGTCAACATCACGGACATCTCGAGGAACATCACTTCCATGTAAGTCGGGCGGCCGCCCCCGGCCGCTGCCTCCCGCCGCGCCCGCGCCGCGCTCCCGCCGCCCGCGGCTCCCTCCGGCCCTCGGTGCCCGGCTCGCCGCCGCCCGCCCGCTGCCCGCCCGCTGCCCGCCCGCCGCCCGCCGCCCGCCGCCCGCCGCCCGCCGCCCGCGCGCGCCAGGCTCGCTCTGGCTCGGGAGATGCTCGCGGGCTGCACCTTCCAGGTGACTCCGGCCTGGCGAGGGGTGATCCGGGCATGCCCGCGGGTGCCGCTCCCCGGGAGGACCCGGGCGGCCCAGGGCGCGCGGGGCCCTGCGCCCACCCCCGCCCCCACCGGCTGGGGCGCGTTCCCAGGGTGTGAATCGGGTTCTTTGACCCCCCGCTAAATAGCAACAGTTTGGCCACGCTCAAGTGGAATAAAGTAGACGAGCTTCGATTCCCTGGCAGCGCGGCCAGCGGCGGACGGTGACCAGGGTGGCCGCGGCCGAGCTGAGCCGGGAGGGAAGGTGACAGGGTCGGCTCCCACCCGGCCGAGATGTTTAACTATTTCCTTTTGGAAACAGCGAAACACGCTGACAAGTAAACAAGTTGGGAGCTGGCGCCTCCCGGGGAGACTTTGGACACCTCCAGGCCGCCATGGAAGCCGGCCTCTCCCGGCTGCCTCCACCCCACCCTCTCCAACCCCATTTTGGGCATTTCTGAGACACCCCCTTTTCCCACCCCATCTGCATCTGGGTGCCCACAGATTCCTTCCCCTTTCGGGCTTTGAGAACTGCTCGGGCAATTCCCAGCCAGGGTGGCGAGAGCAGGCGAGGGGGCTGGAGTGTTGGGGGACCTGTTCTGTGATCCTGCGGACCCGTCTGTTTGGAAAATTGAACTCTGTGACTGGCGTTGGCTTGGCTCTGCCCGGTCGGAGCCCGACGAGGGCCTCCGCTTTTCTTCCTATTTCCCTGTGGTGGGGAGGAGGGGAGGGCAGGGACTTGGGGTCGGGAGGAGAAAGGAGAGCTCCGGGGCCAGGGCCGCTGTCCATCTCTTCTTCCACCGACCCGGGCCCGTGGGCACCGCTCCCCAGTCCTGCCCTCCGGGGAAGGGTGTGGATGGCACTGGATTGTTCAGGGGCGCTCTCCCTGCCTCTCTCCGTGGGGACCCCTGAAACGTGTAGGACGCCGAGAAGGGCTTGTGTGGACATCCTGCCTGGGGCTAAGGAAGGCATTTGGGGTGGCTCTTGGTCCTTTGGGTGGGCGTCCTCAGCAGGGGCCGAGGCTGCCATTGGTGTATCTCTCTGGGCCGTGGGGCTGCTGCACGGCCGGGAGGAATTGCGGTCCTGCTTTCTCGAAAGCCCGCCAGCCCTCTTGGCTGATGGAGGTTCTGCTCCGGGTGCTTGCAGCTAACAATTGGAGGGGAATGTGTCGCCCAGGAGATGTCCCTGATTCCTGGCCCAGGGCATGAGATTGACCCTTATATTGGCACCGACGTTTGCCCCCTTATCACCTTCAACCCGACGGGGCTGACTGGAGAGATGACGAGATAAATGGGGGGCTGGCGGTGGTGCAGGAACAGGATGGGCCCGACTCTGCCTCTCCCCCCCTGCAGGCCGTGCTTGCCAGCATCCCCTTGGATGCCGGGAGGAAGGTCCCAAGTGGGGTTGTCAGGGAAACTCTGCCCTGGCCGAGCACTGCCGGGCTGGTGTGGGGGGCAGCACCTGGGCCCGGGCTCCCAGGAGGTGGGGCGGGCAGGGAAGGTGCCCAGTCGGAGCCGGGTCCGGGTTGTCTCCACTCCCTCCGAGGATGTGTGCGGCCGTAGCTGCTGGTGGCAGGCAGGGCCGGTCACAGCCACACCGGCTCTGAGCAGCCACAGGGAGGTGTTGCTCTCTGGAAAGGCTGCTCGGGACGGCAGTTTGATAGGGAAGAGCTGAGTGGGTCTTCCCAGGCAGAGGGTTGAAGATGGGGCTGCTGGAAAAGTCAGCGATGGGGGGCGCGTGGGGCAGCCTCTGCCCCTGCCACTGGAGACCCCAGAAGGGCACCTGGGGCACAGGGAGCTGGGCGTGGGCCGGAGCCCCTTAGTGCATGCCCATCCTTTCCTTAAATGCACCCCCACATCTGAGAGCCAGGGCTTTGGATGTCTATAGGACCTGAGCGGGGTGGCAGGAGGGGAGGTCAGAGGTCATGGCTGGCTGACCCTTCCTCACCCCATCTTCTCCCTAGTGCCCTGTTATGTCTAAGACGGGTATTGACTGGCTCAGCGAAGGGCTGCCTTCCAGCCCGGGGGCAGAGGACCATGGAGGGGGGGTATTGTGTTCCCCCAGGAGGGAGAGGGCAGCACCCCTGGGTTCCTAGGGGATGGAGGCTCAGGGTAGCCCAGTGACTTTCCCGGGGCACACAGCCCAGGTCGGCCAGGCTGAGACCTTTCTCTCCAACGGCAGGCTCCCCGTTTGCTCTGGGGGCTGCCCCTGGGGCAGGCTGGAGGGAGCAATTTGAGGGCCGAGAGGAGCCCTCCATCTGGGGGAGTAGCGTGGCCTGGGAAGGGGGTTCAGCCAGAGCCTGGGCTTTGCAGGAGCAGTGAGTGTTCTTCTGACGTCTCGTGCTACCAGAGTTATGGGGGCCTTCATTCCTCCGTGCATCTGAAGCGCTTGGTGCTGGTGTCAGCTGAGGGGGGCAGCTTGGATGGACTCTGGGAGGTGGCAGTGGGGCGGCAGACGCTGGATCCATCCGGCTGAGCTAAGGGAAGCTGGGGTGGTTCCCTCTGGGTTGCACTCCTGTTCTTGGGGCTGTGGAGTCTCAAGGTCTCTCCTCAGGTGCTGAACGAATTTATCTGAGTTTTCGGAGGGACACGCGGTTCCCTGGGGTTCTTTGAGTGGTGTGTGGAGAGGCTCCCGTGGACTCAAGGAGGCGCCTCTGACCGGGGGGGGGGGAGGGGGGCTCCCTATCAGTGTCATGAGGAAATCAGGTGCAAGGCATCAGGGCTGACATGTGGGTCTCACCTCCACCCCCCAGAGTCAAAGCGCCTCCAAAGGGCCCCCCCTTCTGGCCTCTTTCTGTTCAGGAGGCCAGTCCCTTTGCACCGACTTGCAGTGACCTTACCTAGAAGGGCCCGGCCGCGCCCAGCAGCCGCTGACGTCACAAAGGCGGCGGTGGGTGGGCAGGGCGCATCCTCGGCCTGCCTGGCCTTCAGAAGGGGGCCGGTGGCCTCGCTGGGCCGGGTGCTCCCGGGCTTGGCCACCCGAGCTTGGGACGCCCCAGCTGGGTCCCCAGTGTGTGTGTCTCTCTGGTCCCTGATTCCCCTGCCCTTCCTGCAGGCTGCCCCCTGGCAGGGATGGGGGGCTCTGGGGCTTTGCCTGCTGCTCCTGCTCCTTCCTGAGCATGCAGAGGTGAGGAGCTGCCCCTGGCAGTTCCCAGTGGGAGTTGGGATGCAGGCCAGGGCACCAGCCAGGCCCCAGCGCCTCGTGGGGCTTGACCAGGCGCCCCAGCAGGGGGGCCGAGGCTGGCGGAGGGAGGAAGGAGTGTCGGGACCTTTGCAGTCAGATTTGGAAGGGGGCGGTCAGCTGTTGGGGAAGAGGTCCTTCCGGGGTGGGAGGCGAGTGCTACCGAGGCCCTGGGTGGGCGCTGGTGGGTGGGCTTCCCGGAGGGCCCTTCCTGGGCCGGGGACCTCAGCCCGCACCCTAGGAGCAGCCCAGGGCCCAACTCTGCACTTCGGGGGCTGAGCACGGACCCTGGGGCCGTCCGACCTTAGCTCGATTATGCTTGCCTGCTGGCGCCTGGAGGCCGAGCCTGGAGCCCGAGAGGCGGCCCGGCCACCACCCTCCTGCCTGGCGTGTGCTGGGTGGGGCAGGAGCCCCCCGTGTGTCCACCCCTGACCTCTCCGTGCCGTCTCTGGAGAGGTGGGCCCGCCGCAGCGCAGCTGCTCGTGGGTGGGAGAAAGGGTAGCCTGTGGCCTCCCTGGGGATGTCCCGAGCCAGGGCCGGGGTACCCCGGCAGCCTCCTGGGCTCCCCATCACAAGTGCTTCATCGAGCGGCTGGTGCTGGGGTGGAGACATTGTCCCCAGCCTCCCCTGGGACCACCAGAAAGCCAGTGCAGGGTGGGGTTCTGGGAATGGGACAAGGGAGAGGACACTGAGCCCCACCCTGCTCTGCCCTTGGGCTGCTGGGAGCGAGGGAGGACTTTAAGTTCCACGGTGAAAGGAGGCCCCGGGCGGCGGTGTCCCTTCTGGCTCGGGCACGTGTCGCCCCGGGGCTGAGGACTGAGCTTGGAGGTTTCAAGGCCCCTCTGGGGGCCTCTCCTGTGCGGTTGCTGCTGGCCTGGGATGCCCCAGGAGGCGACTCCTCCAGGAGTAGGCCAGGGGGAGCTCCCTCACCCCCACTTTCCCTTCCTATCTCTACAAAACTCTGGGCCACAGAAACTGCTACACAATTTAGAACCAACTGCCCAGGCCAGATGCCATCCTTAGCAAGGACTGGTGGGGACCGCGCATTCTCCTTAGAGTGAGGAGACCCCTAGCCTCCGGGCCCCCCACCTCCACCAGAGCTCTGGGCAGGAGAGGGCTCCCTCTTCCACCTCACTGGGTGAGAGAAGAAACTGCTAGAACTTCTGTTCCAAATTATTCTTGTCTAGAAAAGGGAATACTTAATGTATGAGTTGAGGATATATAAGCATAGAATTTAATAATATGAGTGTTTGGGGGTTACCGACTACATTTTTTATTGCTTCAGCCATACAGAACCAACAAAGCTCGGTGCCCACTCTTGTGGTAGGAAAGGTCGGGGTCTGAGCTTGAGGGCAAGGTGGGTGCCATTGGAGAGGCGTAGGTCTGTTCCGAGGAGGGGTAGTTGTTCGGGAGGGGGCATGTGACAGGGATCAGGCTCAGGAAAGGGGTCTCAGCTCTGGACCAGGATTCCCTAGCCTCCCTCATCTTCCTGGACCAGGCCAATTCTCAAAAGAAGGTCTCCTGGACCATTGGGATTCGACCTTGACAAGCCCCCTCATCTCCTTCTGTCCATGCTTCTGGTT